CATCTTCCAACACAGCTTCTACATTTTTCTGGATTGACTGCATGCTACTGGTACTTGCTGTTGTATCCATAAGAACTGTTGTTTCCTGACTGCTACTTGCATTCTGCAGAAATTGCTATTTCCAATATTTTGCCGAACATAACTAACAAAAGCAAAAAAAAAAAAAATCAAACTAAATTTCATAAAGGCTTTAATACTTCTAACGATCGCATTTTCACTACTCAATTTTTCTATTTCTTAAAATTGACCTCCAAAAACGAGCACTTCTGAAAACATACTTGTGATAATGTCAATATACGTTCATCGTCATGTACATTATTTACGACACCAGCAACATTTGATTGATTAAGTTTTTCCGAATCTTCGATAGCTTCTAAAACATCGATCAATTTCTATCAACCATTTAGATGGTAGTAATATACTTTCAACAGTCCCATAACGATATTTAGTGCAGAATGGTGGAGGTAATGAGTTTGTTTTTTTTTCTTTTTATACTTATTTAAGAATAAGAGTACAGTCGCAATGCATTGGAAGATTTTTTTCTTTGATACATAGTAGAAAATTTTAATTACAACTGCTAAAGAAACGTGAAAACTTAGTAATAGAAATGTACAAATAGTATTTTTAAATACTCAAAGGTTTAACAAAGAAAGCATTACTTATTCGCAAACAATAAGTAGCAATAAAAATTTGAAATAATTGGTGAAAGAAAATTTTAATATCTGAAAAAAGAGAAAAAACAAAAAACGAACTCCAAATTTCATGTAAATCTTCGCCCTCAATTTTCTCATCCCATGGATCACGAATACATCGACCATTATTATGCACCAGGTAACGACGTCCACATTTACTTGTAACAGCATTTTGCATCAAAAGACCGCTTGATGATCCCTCATCAAAGTTATGCGTTGCCTTATTATACAAGTGGCTACAGAATTCAGCACCTGTTTCAGTGTCGTTTAGTTCGGATGAATCGTACACAACCATTGGTACCTAAAATGACAAGTTCAATCACAAAACCATTTTTAATAAATTCCGTTTTTATTGAGCAGTAAATTAATTTCATTAGTAAGATTAAAATCTAAAGAACTTTAGAAGGACTGACTTATAATGTATCTATCATCATGATTATAGGAAAAAAAATTTTTTTTGCAATTTCTAAGAAAAATTTTTATGTTGCATATGAACTTATAGTTAAGCATCGGTTTTTCAACAAAGCAGTGGCGATAACAGATCAAAAAAATTGCTGTGATGCATCCTTCGAAAGTGAGACAGAAAAAAAGACGGAGAAAAACAAATAACCTTAGAAAGGAATAACCCATTTGGCAATTCTTAGCTGGGTTTATAAGCAACACTGATCGTTCTATTATAAAGATGGAATTTAACATAAAAGTGAAATTTAACAATTTAAGTATTTGCAGGTAGAAGTTAGATTAATACATTTTCATGTGAAGCATACTTACCTTTACTCTTCTTTTTACACAGTTTTCATGAGATTTATCGCACCTATTCGTGAACTTCGTCACAATTTCACTAGCTTCCAGTACTGTTTGTTCATCTTCCGTCCCGGAAGATGAGTCATCAATATAGATCGGAAAATCAACAGCATCATAGATATCATCATTTTTAGCAGAACCATCTTCCAAACCAACATCAGAATCACTGTTCCCTTCATCCAACTGCCCTTTGTTTTTCGTCTTATCCTTACCTTCCTAAAAAAATTAACATCTACCATTAATGGTTCCAAAATAAAAATATACAAATTGGAACTGCGATAATTTTTTTCTCAACACCTTATTATTTACTGGGCAAATCAAACATACAATATATATATATATATATATATAGAAAGAAAGGAAAATATACTTTTTTATCAGTATTTCCTTCATTATCCGAATTCACTTCTTCATTACCGTTATCACTATCGTCATTGGGTGAGATATCCTTCTTATTATTTTTACTGTTATCGAACTGAGATTCTGGAAAATTTTATTTTAGTGAATAGTTTCTTCCATTTAAGAAAAGTTTAATCAGAATTAGCTTACTATCCCCTAACTTTGATCGAACATCATATGCTTCTAAATGCGTAGCATCCACACGAAAGGAATAAATTCGTGCACTTGCATCGAGTAAAGATCCAGCTTGCTAAAAATTTTTTAGAATAGTGCACGTTAACTTCATTACGTGAAGTTGTAAAAATGCAAATAAAAAAAAATTTTCATGAAAAGTCAACGCTAACATATAGAGGTTCCTTTTCCACAACAATCGGTAATCTATCGATAAGATCTTCCTGGAAAGCACGAGCAGCCAATTGCTTGGCTTTCGTAACAGCAATTTTCATTGCTTCCAGTAAACGTTCATTTTTCGCTGGGTTTTCTAGAATTTCAGAAACTTATTTAAGATTATAGTTCATGTAAAGATTAACAAACAAAAAAAAGCAAAAATGCACTTAACAGTCAGAAGCTCAGTTTAAATGCCGAAAATCTATAAATTGAAGAATTAGTCATTTTTCTATCGAAAAATACGAGATTTTTCGTACACTTAAAACAAGCTCATCAACGGACATAAAATGAGTTTTACCTTTCTCAACAGCTCTAGCATTCATATCCATTAAAATTTTCTGCCGTTCCTCATCTTCGTCCTTCTGTGTACGCAAAACTGCCGATTTGCGATGTGAACCACGTCGACTATCTTTTTCCAAAGCATCAAATGTTCGATCAACCTTTAGAAGAGAAAGAAGTAATAAACCAAGTTGTGACCACTCGAAATACAAGAAATTTTCAATTTACTCAGCCCAAGATACAATCAAATTTAGCTTAAACAGCTCATCCTCACTTACTCATTCAGTTAATTAAAAACAAAGAATTTATTAGTTTTTTTGTTTAAAATTATTAGCTTGAATTGATAAATTGTCTGGAGAACAAATTTACCTCACTATCCAAGTCATCATCATCATTAACACGTATCCGACGTCTTGGCATTGTTATTATCGTTATTAAAAGATAAGTTGTGACAGATAATTAAAAAGAAAAACAACAATACCCTGATAAGCTCCAGTAATTTCTGTAAAAATTTTAAAATTTAATACCGTTTCTATTCATATTAACATGATGCATTATAACATACAAATATCGCGAAAATAATTGACAACGACAGAGAAATAGATAAACCTCTCGTAATAGTTTTAAACTTTGAAGTGAAAATAAAAAAAATTTTAAGCTAAATATACAAAAAATTAAAAAAGAATCTGATGCATTAACAATTAATTCAGACATTAGTTATTCTATGAATATCTGTATCAATTGCCATTAAGTTTTTATTTTGACTTAATCCTCAGATCATCCATCTTTACGATATAAATTGATGCAGATGTAAACTAAAAGAATGAAATAAAGACATTAAAAAATTCAAATCCATTTCTTAATCACTATTTATATTCATATAATCAAATTAACTGTGACGTATAATTCATTTCTAGTTTTGCTCTTTTTTCGTTTTCTCGCCGTCTGTTTTTTGCTTTTTCTTCTTTTCTTTTAGATTTCAAATTATATTCGAATGACAGTAATTTTAACTTTCTCTATATTCAAGGACACTTTTCCCGTTTCCAATATTTTTTTCCTGAGTTCCTTTTGGATATCTAAATCCTTCCTAACGCATACTGCAAACATATTTGGAATAATTTTCTCCAACTAACTCTTTGGAAATTCTTTGGAAATTAATCCGGCATATTTCTTCCTGACATTCAACTTTGTCACCCCGTATATTCTAAGCTAAAAGTGCGTCAGCAAACCACAAACATTTTCCGGCCGGTTTAATCCTCCGCCTTTCCGGTTTCCATGCAAATATGCAGGATGTCACTTTATTAGTTCGTCACGTAGTAAGAATTTTTGCGTGAATTGTACTCTACCAAACGTGACCTGACAAAGGAAAAAGGAAATATCACGAGAAGCGAAAATACACTGACGTTCAAGAATATTTTTCAATGCGATGTATTTGTGTCGCGTAGCAGAGTGGAAAATTCAAATATTTAGAGACTGTTGCAACAGGAGAGACATTAGGAGTTGATCATATGAAAAAGAAGCACTGGAATAATTGCGAAAGAGAATGAAACAAATGATATAGTGTCCGAAATAATGAGGGAGTAAAGATGTAATCATCAAAATATAATGTGTTAAGAGATGTAGACAAGAGCTAGATAGTTCTGCATTAAAAGTTGTAAGAAAGAATGGAAGTAATACGGAACTTAAAACTGAGAGGAAATTTGGGCTAAGCCGAAATGACACTGAAGCATTTGGGACGTTTTTCGTGTGAACTTTACGTGTTACGTGTCGTCCGCGTGGGTTGCGAGCTGTATTGCGTAAATCTTGCGTCAGTGTAATTGTTACGTAAATCGTATGTTATTGTAAGTTTTAATGTTATTTCAGCAACATTGTTACTCATTGTCTAAAGTGTCTAAAGTCAATCACATACATTTCATAAGTAGGTTCCATGTTATGGCAATTCTGAAAAAAATCATATAGGAATTAATTGTGCACACTTTGAATTTACACACTGTGAGAAACATAGGTTACACGTCTGTTAGCCGATTTGCAATTTGCATATGAATTACTTTTTTTCCCATATATTTACTTCCTGCAGTAATTTAGAAAATTTCTGCAGAAAAATTTAACTCAGAGAAACAGTGACAATAGTAAGAGTTCGAAAACTGTGGTATGTCTGGTATTACAAAACTTTAATCTCCACGTTTTTACTTTCGTTTGTCCTCTGTTACATGGTCATGAAAGTTCACAGAAATGATTCATACTGGTCGTCTATTTGCTGATTTTGTATTTTTATATTTTCTACTTTTATCAAGGAGTCTTCTGGATACATGCAGTAAATAAAGAATTTCCTAATTTGTCATTTCTAATTGATGCGCTCTTCTTCTAGCTTAATCTGCAGCTTTTCTGATATTTTATTGCTGTTTTAATTTTTGAATAATGCATAACTTTATTTTCAGGATGTCATCCATGGAAGTGATCAAATATCTATTATTGCTACTTCAACAGGGTATCCAACTATGTTTAACTTATAAAGCAGTCGATGAATCGGTTTTATTTAGGTTTGAAAAATTGTCTTCTAGATAATAAAATTAATTAAGACCTAAAAAGCTAATTAAATCATTTCGAATCAAGTTTCGTGCATCAGTACAAATTAGTGCATAGAGAATAATCTAATGATGTGGCTTTTGATGCATATGATATAGATATTTTGTATAATGCAACAGATAAATAAGTTCTGAATCCAGCAATGGTCAGTGTAAGTTGAAAACGCGACATCGAAATATTTCGGTAAAATGGATGTTATCCAAATTCATCCATGAGATATATGCAACACCGCAATGTTGTCCTTAGTGTAATGATTCATGTAATAAAAAAATGTAATAAAAATTTATCGCAGATTGAGTTATTCGGTATTTTTTGTCGTAAATATTGCATGGAAATATTTAGGATAGACTGGAAAGGCAAATCGGCAACACCAAAATATCTTGTTAATGTTAAAGATGATTGGTTAACGAATCAACCTTATCTACACGTAACGAGTGGTAGTGATGAAAAATATCTCTGTACGCTACCAATCATTCCAACTGAGGTTTCTGTTTTTTTATGTTCTATGGTATCACTTGGAAGCATTACAAAAATTTTTTATTATGTTCTACCTTCATTGATGTTATGTGCCGAAATAATTTAAAAATGTCTTCTTTTTTTTTCGAAATTGTATTTGGAATTTTTGTTATTTTAGCACTTTCAAAGATCGTTTACTTAGGCGTAAGAGATTTTATTTACTCAACAAATATAGTAGTAATTTTTATGCAGTTTTTTTGTTGCTTTCAGAATAAACAATCAGTGCATTCATATGTGGGACCATCACCAGCTGAACTTATCCAATCGTTGTATGATAATCGAGTATGCTCATATTGGTTAGATGTATATTGGACATATGAATTGTGCCATGGACGCTATATTATGCAATATCATGATAATAGAGAACAAAGAAGTATCAGGAGTGAATATTATTTAGGAAATTATGGTCGTGAACAATCCAGATTGGTACCATTTTCAAGCTCTTTTTTTTTCCTTTTTGCAGTTTGCTTTTCTTTCGATTTTGAGTGTAAATTTAGTGATTATGATTAAACTGATTTGTTCTTACTGAATAAAAAAACAACATAGATTTAGCAGGTGCACTAACTGATTTCTTATTTCGGTCGTCCTTAAATCGATTCATTCTTACTCAATTCATTATTTTAGTATTATTTTACCAGTGATGAAAAGAATACTTAATTTTGACTGACAGTTTTTCAGGATGATAAGAATTTCGATCAAATGAATCCACCAAAACGCAAAATTGATAGCAAAGTGCAGCCTTATTATCCAGTTACTTACAGACAAGGGACCGTTTGCGATTTAACCGGGAAACCAAGGAGTACGACTGTCATATATGCCTGCGAACCGGTTTGTGTATATTAAAACTTCAAAATATTTAAGTAAAAAAAAACGTAAAACATATTCTACCTTTTTTTTTTACCATCTACCATTTTTACCATTCACGTAACATATTAAAAGTCCTATTTTTTACCATTTCTAAACTTACCTAGATCATATTAGATTCTTGCAACTCCAAAGGGAAATTTATCGAGTGGTCCATATCTATTTAATATCCATTTAATGAAGCTGTAGGTTACTTTAATTTTCAAATATTTTCAGGATGGCAAGGATCAAATATATTCTTTTGCTGAAACAGCTTCTTGTACTTATGAAATGATTGTATTCACCAAACAGTTATGCTCTCACCCATCTTTTCATCCACTGCCTACTGTTGATCATGAAATTGTTTGCTACTCGAAGGATCCGCATAAAGAATTTCCGAAGCCAAAGCAACTTTTGCAGCTTGAAAAAGAGAGTGAGACAAGATTGGAAAGAGTAAGTTTGAAATGAATATTTTTTAGATTTGAAAATATCCTATTTGTGATTTAAATGCTCTCGTTTGTTTGATTTTTACCATCCATTTAGGTGCTTTTCTGCGATAGGATTAGATAATACTTTTTTTATCAAGTTTGAAGATATCAGTTTTTTTTTCTTTAACTGAATCATTTACTTGTCTCTTTCAGGAATATAAGTCAACTCTTCAGCTTGAAAGACCTTCTGCAAATGTTAACATTAATGGAGAAGACGAAGATAATGGAGAATATGATGATGAATTAGATGCGGCAATTAATGTAGCCAAACAAGCATCGCCAAAATCTGACAGCTCACGATACAGTAGGTTTACCTTCTCTTGATAATGACTAGCTTATTAGAAGAATATGAAATTTACATATTTCTGCACAAACTTTTATTAACTTCTGTTGATTTTTGTATGACAGTAACTTTGTATTGCTTAATATTGCTCTTATTAGTCTCTTTTTTACGTTCATTGCTTCTTTTCTAGTATCCTCAGCAATCTCAATGGTAAAACCGACGACCAATATGAATATGGATAGTTTGCTTCAGGAAAACAGATATTTACTAAGTGGGAAGCACTGTTTGTATGGTGGTGGCATAGGATGGTGGAAATATGAATTTTGTTTCGGGAAAAGTGTAAGTTTACATATAGATTTGAGGATTTTGTTCTGACAATTCTATGTGTTTTTCATTGATTTTAATTAGTTGAACTGTAAACAATGATCTTGAGTCAAGAGAATTAATAAATGAAAATTAGTTATGAAGTAATGGAAATGGAAATATTGCAGGTAATACAGTTTCACGACAATTCTCAAGGTGAGCGAACTGAAATTTTGTTAGGTCTTTTCAACCTTGATATACATAAACATTGGATTGACGATAATCCTCAGAAGAAACCGTTAAAGGTTACTTTTTTTAGTCTCACTGAGGTATTTCTAGAATAGGCTGTCAAAATGACCTGCCATGACAACTGATCCAATTGTGCTTAGTGTTATATTTAAAGTCAAGGCTATAATCAGGTCGAAAAAAGTGTTACAGATTTGTAGATGATTGTCAAAGAAATATCGAGATTTATCGACAAGATGATTTACTGCATGGAAAAGTCTTCATTTTATTTGATCTATCGTTCTGCTGCATTAACTAGTGAAATATTTTCATTCAAACTGTTTCAGTGCGTTTATGTTCTTTATAGATTGACGGTCGAATAACTCAGGTCTCACACTTGTATGCAGGTGGTGCATTTTGCGAGAAGACTAACATTCACAGGTTTATTTATTTATTTTAATCTTTGAGTCTTATTTAAATATATGACAAAATTTTCGGGCCCTTTAGTTTAAATCTAGCAAAAAAAAGAAAAGAGAGTGGAACTAGTATAATTTCAGAAGTGTTGAAGTACGTATTCGTTGTCGAATATCAAAAGGAAGTCAAACGGCTGTAACACTTTACTTGTTGGAGCCTCATACATGTCAGTATATTTTGGGAGTGGAGTCATCTCGTTTTTGTGAATTGTTGCAAACTGTTGATCAGTATGGATTGATCCAACTGCCAGAAGTGTAAAGTAAACTGTGATCAGTTGTGGTATGGTCAAAAGAGAGTGTTAAGGGATTGGGTTAGGTCGATCTTCTAAGTGGAAATCTTTTTGGCGAAAGTAAGTTTTACCTCGTCATTTCATTATTATTTTTAGAGCATTTTATGATTTAAAAATCCAGAATTTAATTAGATAGTGGTGTGTTAAAGCAGTCTTTATTTGGGTTTATCATCTAGATTATACGGTCTTTCAATGTAATATTTTTTAATCTTATAGAGACATGATCGCGTGTTTGTCGATATCTGTCCATCGTTCCTAGTTGTTATTTTGAAAATATTGCAACAAAAATTTGTTTTTAAGTAATTTTTCTCAGTTATTCAGAGGATTTAATGGTTGCCGGTTAAGGCTAAAAGTTCGTCACAATATATTTTGCTAAATTTGCTAAATTCAGATTTACTTTCCTTTTATCTTTAAATTCCGCGCGACCACTGTTCATTCCATTATTTACTGTGATCTATGTAAGTGATGTTTGTTGTTTGATTGGTACATTGGTTTTCCTAAACAACAATGAATTTAAGATTTTGTAACGGTTTGGAAAATTTACTGTTTCCATTACATAATTTTTTTTTTTTTGGACACTTTGATTTAAGCAGTTAGTTTTTATTGTTTTATCTTTGGGTGGTGGTTCTTTTTGTTTTTAACAACTTTAGGCATGATATAGCTTTTTCACAAGCTGTAATAAAAGTTTTGTCTTCAAATGTTTGTAAATTAATGTGATTCGGACCAGTGCCTTCATTTATAAATATTCATTTCATCATGGCCGTAAGATTATCTTCTTTGTAAGTTTGTACATACAATTATTTTCCTTATAGTTTCTTGCATTCTTTCTCTTTCTCAAGAAAGTCTTTATTTGTGTTTATAAGAATAAGTTGTGTCTGTGATTTTCGGGAATAATATTTTATGTTTAAATTTGGTATTAATGGCCTAGAAATCGTAATCTAAAGATTAGTGCGTAATTTAGATTTATTTTAGAAGTTTCATTACCAATTTCCTCGTTCATATGTTTATTTCTTGCTTCAGAGGAAAAAATATGTAAGCTATTTGAAATGTGAATTTTTTTTAAATTCAACTGTTTGCATTTCATTTTGAAAATGAGAAGGGAATGCCAAAATATTCATTATAATTGTCTCAATTAGTATTTTGAATTATCCCATTGGAAATTTACTGCATAAAATCATTAGATAATTGAAGAGATGATAGCTATAAAAAGAGCTGATCAAAATTTTTTTAGATTTTTGTGCAGCAATTGTTTGATAACTTTGTTCTTACTGGTCTTTGCCATGTGATATTTCACTAATTCAGTGTTGAATTATTTTACAAGCCAGTTGCGTTAATTTTATTTGGTTTTTACTACATGCTGCAAATAAATTTGATGCATATGAAAACGAAATAGTGATTTGTGGTCTTAGGTTGCAACCTATTTTTAAAGAGTGTCGCATCCTTCATTATTTTCGGGATTTCAGTTTTCGGCTTGTTTCAGGTTTCAGGGATGAGTGGTTCTTAAATTAAAACTTTTCCAAAGAGTTTGGTTAAATTTTCCAAAAATTTCAGTAAATTATGTCGTACGAAGTATCAGGTGAATCTAAGAGTAATGAGAAAAATCTACCGGTAAAGGATAAAGATAAGTGTACGGAAGAAAAAGATGACAAGAACGCGATAATAGCTGGTTTACAGCAACTTCGTGAGCAGCAAAGAAATATTGTAGTGGAGTTAGCACGAGTAGAGGACGATAAACGTGAACATGAGTATGTTTACTGTTTTTAAGGCTAAGTTAGTTTAAATCTTGGAGCACATCTTAATTTCCATTGTTTTATTTATTTAGTTACTATTTTTGAATTTATTTTCTCATCTTATTTTTCAGCATTTCCCCAATCTCAGAGAATGAAAAAAAAGCTTTTGTTTCAACATTTGTTTATTCTGTTTCCTCGATTTTTGGTTTGACAAGCCTACTAGCACTATGTGTTATAAAAATGATTATTTTTGCTTGCTTTAACTTAAAATTCCCTTCTTTAATTTAGAATTTCTTCAGTAATTTTTCTTTGTCTGCAATCTTTTTTGTTTTATTTTCTTTTGGCTTCTGAAGTCTTAAAATTTTGATAATAATGATTAACAAAACATTAAGAAGAAACGTTATAGACGTGTGATTCAAGTGTTAAAAAAGATGGAAGGTGATAGAAAATGCTTTCGAATGGTAGGCACAACTTTAGTGCAGCATGAAATTAAAACTGTATTACCCATTTTGGAATCTACATTACAAAATGTAAGTCCTTTTTGCTAACATGCATTCATCTGATAGTGAACATTTTTCGTGATGATAGCAGTTATGATATATTCGCATTCATATTAGTATAATTTTCTTTCAAGTCAATTTTGTCGGTCAAGTTGAAAGAAAGAAAGAATAATAAGATTGATGATTAGCTATCATCATGATCAACTAAGAAAATTGCGAATGATCATTGGCAGGTGGGTTTCCTCCAAAATGCATTTATCAATATTTCATTGAAAAAAAAAAGTGGCTGAACAAATGCACCAATTCTTTTTTTTTTTTTTTTTAGCTGGATACATTAGTGAATTCAATGAAGGATAATTTGATAGAAAAAGGTAAAGAATTGCAAGAATATACGGAAAAACATAAAATTCGTTATGTCACTGAGAAAGAATTGAGGGAAGAATCTGAACGTAACATGAAAAAATGATGACAAATTGGTAATAAATTTTCATTATAGTGCCAAGGTTTCGAATTTATTACTTAAAATATAGTCCTCTTTTTACGAAGCATGTGAAATCAGAATTTAAATGATATTTTTAATGAACCTTCGAACTGCTGAGGAGAGGGAGTGAAATAGAAAGAATGGCTGATAAGAAATGCTTACTAGTTATGACTCATTATGTAATATTAGCCTTTTGCGATGGTACTCAGTAAAATTTGGGCTTACAAATTTTATTTTCAAATTTGAGTTCTGAAGTGTTTATTACTGATTTGTAGTTTTTAATCATTGGGTAATGATAGTATCAGTTCAATGGTACTTTTATAAAAAGCAAACCAGATCTCTCTTTCTGAGTTTGGATGTGGAACTAATTTTCCCCGGAAAAAATAATTGCAAAAAGAAAAGAAAACACATTAGATTTATATTTAAAGACGCCTAGTGAATTAGCGGTATGTTTTAACTAATGAATTAAAGTAAACAAATTGGATATTCATCACCATTCTTCGTTTTGTAAAATTGATGTTGCTAGTTACTTTGCAGTTATAGCTTCAAAAAATACTCGAATAGTTTAAATTGTTGATCTCAAGATTGTCTAACATTTAGAGAATGTATAAAACTGGGTCAAGTAAGTATGAATGGTTAAGTATTAAGCATATACAATAATATTGTCATTGTAAGCTCCATTTTTTTCATTACTTCTTAAATTTATTTTTACATATGCTTGGAATATCTATGTTCAAATTTTTTCCCACAGTTTTTTCTCTGTCTGATGTAAATATATGAAATGAAATATTTTTGTATTACGTCTGTTGGAATTTTCTCTTTTATCTATAATTATTATAATAAAAATTGTATTGTGGTATTCCAAAGACATATATCTAAAATCATTTTTAGCATTGTTTCCAGTTTATTTTATATTTCATCTAAAATTGATGGAATGGATGGATGATAGCATGATTGATCTTCATTTACTCAGGTAGTAGTGATTCGTCGAACTGTTCATCGTCAAAAGATTCCATATTTCCGGTTTCTGGACATCGTATACCTGTTCGTGGCCGAAGTGGTGCTGGTCCAAGAGGATCACTGTAAGTATAATCTGCTGGACCTGTAATTCCGTAAATGTTAAAATTTTAATTCTTTAAGTAAGTAAATAATTTATAAAAAATATCCAAAATAATAGATGACATACTCATTTCTCGACGTGACATGTGATACTGCTCATCGTCTTCAGACATTAGGCGAATGTTTGCTATTTTCAGTTGTGAGCGTGAATTAGGTCGTCCACCTAATATAAAAGTGTGCGTTAAGATTAGTGCGTATATGAGATTACTTGAAATAACTAAGTAAAGGTCGAAGGTCAAGGTACACTTAAGTTTTACGTTGATTCATATTAGCATACGTATGTATCTAAATAGAAATGCTCAGAATATTATTTGAGAATTCCCTCATATCACTTCGGTAGAACGAAAGTCTAGTATTGAAAACATCATTGCACATTTTGAAATGACGAGGATCCGAACTTTGAGGTACTCATTTACTACCACAATTCGAAACCAATACACTAATACCTCGTGAGTGCAACGTTGGAAAAAAGTCTAAGTAAAATATTAATTTCAAATTTTAAATAATAATTTGAATAATAGTATCAGTTCAGTACTTTAACTGTAGTTGATACATTATATTTGTCAAATCACTTTAGAGTTATTTGCTAATATTACTATTTTTACTCTCCTTTTTTTTTTTTAAATTAAAGAAATCTCACATATTACCATTATACTTATTCTTCTACTTATACAATTTTTCAAAAATAAAAACAAAGAAGATTAAAAAATAAATGTATAAACAATCATGAACACAAATAAAAAAAATATATAATTATGACTAGAAGATATAATAAGAAATATATATACAATTTAATATAATGTAAAAAGAGATATAATTATAATTATCAATGATTGACATACGTAAAATACCTTGCGTGAAATTATTTGTTGATTGAATTAAAGGTGTATGATGCCTTCCTTGACTAGAATCTACTTCACGTTGCATTCTTAATTGACGTACTTTTTCTGTCTTCGATAACTTTAAAAAAAAAAAAAATTAAAAATAATAGAAAAAATAAAAATAGCACAATAGCATGAAAAATTGTTACTTAGATAACTAAGTAGTTAATAATATCTTAATAAGATAATTATTTAATTATCTTAGCGCTATCAAAAAATGATTAATGATAAACAAGTTAAGATTAGTTAAATGCATTA